AAAAAAAAAATTTTCTCAAAATTTTCAGTAATTTCTCCTGAATATAGTAAAAAATAAAACCCGCAGTGGTGATTAAATACCACCAAAATAAAGCTCTATCTGTCCCCAAAAAATGGTATAAAATTCATTTCAGTACAGCGTTGCGTGACGGAATAACTGTCAGTCAAAGTACCGCAGCGCTGAACACTGAAAAATGGCCTGGCCAGGTAGGGGATCTAAACACCTGGTCTTCAAGCAGTTAAACATATTTTTTTTACACAACTTTATTGTTATCACATAGGGGGATAAGAATCTCAGATCGACTTACAGTGACTGGTCCTCTTTATGGAGACATCAGGGGTCTCTAAGGCCCCATTCACACCTGACCGTTTTGTAGTGCGTTCTACGCTCGACGAACGCTCTACAAAACGGTCTAAAATATAAATAGCATTACAGTCAATGGTCTCGTTCCCACCTGTCCGTATTTCCGCCCGTCCCGAACGCACTACAAAACGGCCCACGCCTGAAAAGGTCCCGGGACTACTTTGGGCCGTTTTGTAGGGCGTTTTCCATTTGGATACTGCCAAGTAGCCTTTGGAATCGCGTGACGGTCGCGCAACTTTTTTACCGCGAATCGCGGTAAAAAAAACGCGTGACGGTCGCGCATATTACAATACGCCTAGGTGTGAATGGGGCCTAAGACCCTTAAGGTCCCCCAATGAAGCACAGATCTGTTTCATCAGCCTCTCTCTGGCTTCTGTAGCCGGAGAGTTACACAAGGATGCGGAAGTGATGTATTAAACATTAGACATGTGCACTGCCAAAAAATTTGTTTAGTTTCGTTTTAAATTCGGATTTGTGTTATTTCGTTTTTCGGGTGTGAAAGTCAATTCGGAGGACATTCGGTAGCGGTAGTTCATTTCGTTTTCTGTTCTTATTCTTTCGTGACATTTGAGGGGGAAAAAATATTTTTCTCCTTCTCTAATGTCACATTGCTTCAACGAACGAAACTAATAAGAAACGAATAAGAAACGAAAACGAACTACCGCTACCGAATTTCGGAAATGGAAATTCGAATTCGTTTGCATTCGTTATGTCTGTAATTCGGATACATCCGAATGTCCGAAAGTTCGACCGAATTTCGATTCGGAACGAAACGAATTGCACATGTCTATTAAACATCACTTTCTGCATTCAGAGACCGGAGGGAGATTGTGTACTGATCTCCCTCCATTCTCTGTGCACGGAGCCACACTGCTGGTCCCAGATCGGACGCCCGGGATTGCAGGGACAGCGATGAGAGGTAAGGATGGGGGGCGCACAGAGAGATGCATCATACAAGCGATCCGGCGTCTTTACAGACGCCGGACCGCTTGCATGTGAACAGCCATCGATGGCCGTTTCAAATTCCAGCTCGCGCGGGCATGAAGGACGTTTAAAGACGCCCACCCGCATCCAGAAGACTCCCGTCCGGCCATTTCTGGACGTTCAGCGGATGGGAGGTGGTTAAATCATCTGCGTATACAGTTGTAATTACTCGTTAACCTTCCTTGAGATGACGCTTCCTGGTTTCCCGGCTGGCTGAATCAAACGCTTGCAAATAAGACGACAATCCCACAGGATTCTAGAATGAATACGTTTATTGTCTTACAAAATTTATTGTCTAGAAATATGAGATATACACGGAAGTGAGAGGTACGGGGGCGATCCAGGGGGACGTGCAGCGATAACCTGTATAAACTATGAAACCGTCTCCAGCTCAGGACAGGGGAACCAAAACTCCACCCGAGTCCGGAACGGTCAAAGCCTTTAATAATATTAATAATAAAAAAATGCTATTTCCCAGCACAAGAGTTTGGATAATACTGACTTTCGCATTGACGTCATAGCTACACATGATATAAGATGCACAATAAAATCGTCACATTGGTTCCATCGGGACAAGTGGATATGTACTTTAATATTCTCCTCAATTGTCTAAGTGGCTAAGGCACCTTTTTGTTGTCACATATGTTTTTGTTTTCTAAGAAAGTGCTAATCTCGAGTTGGAACATGGGTTTTGGATAATCATCAATTGCTGCTTTGGGGAGGTTGAAATCCAAAAAGGAAAAAAAAAAAAATGACAGTTCTCTCCTGCCACCAATCCCTACTTTAAGAGGGAAAAACAAACCTGGCGGATTCACAGTTTAGTTACGGAAATTCTTTGATAAAAAGGGATCCACAGAAATGTCCGTAGTTTATAATGTAATAGGTTAGGGTTATAGGAGCTTCTAGAACATGCAAAAGGTACAATCCCACGTCCTCCTGGCAACCCCCGCCCTCTTCCCCGGGACAGAGAACATGTAGTGCGCTTTTTTTTGTTTTGTTTTAATTTTGTCCAGATGATGCTAGAAAGAGGAAAGAAATTAAGTCTGTATGATAACGCAGAGCACAGAACCCCTTCTCACGGCTGCCTTCTGGATATGGGGTGGTGGAAGAGGATGGCTTCCATCTTCCTTCCTGCAGAAAAGGGCACTTCAGCAGGAGATTGGTTCGGCGGATTGGGATTTATAGCGAAGCGGAGTGGCCTGAGAAGAGGATGTTACAGGCTCCCCCCCCCCTGGGCTCTCTTGTCTGTATGACCTGTATTGCTGCTGTGAGCAGTTTAGTGTCCCTTCCTGATGGGCAGAGGAATTCTTGGAGAGGAAGTCACTCAGTTGGGGTGGAGGCTGATGTCTCGTTGACCTCGTTGGTTTTGCTCTCCGTCTCATCGTCTGAGAGGTCGATAGATGTGCCCTCTATCTGCAATGGTCGGCGACCAGAGCGGCTGGACGATGAGGAAAAGGATATGGGTCCGCCCCGCCTGCAGAGTGAAAAAGAAAAAATTAGATTTTGTTATTAAGATAAAATCTTTTTTTCTCTGAGACTATTGAGGGACACAGCTCTGAAGAATTCTAAGACATAGGGTTATGCTGCTGCCTCTAGGAGAAATGGACACTAGGCAAAGAAATAAAAAGCCTGTCACTTTAAAGGACCTAACCCCTCCCAGTTGTAGGAAGCAGTACAAAGGAATTTGAGGGGAGGGAGCCGTCCATTGAGGGACACAGCTCTAAAGAATTCTGAAACGCAGGGATGTTCAAAAGCAGTCCAAACAGAGGAACGGGCACCACAACTAAAATATGAACTGTCAAAGTACATTTAAACAATTGCATGAAGAACTTTCCCGCCAGAACTAGCATCAGAAGAAGAGGCAAAAACATCAACTTCATAAAACTTTGCAAAAGTGTGAACAGAAGACCAAGTTGCGGCCTTTGCAATTTCGAGTAATAGAAGCTTGATTTTGGAAATGCCCAAGAAGTACTAATTGCCCAAGTAGGATGCAGAAACAGGAAAAGGTGGTACCCGTCCCGCAACGCATAAGCTTGAATGACGAGCTGACAAATCCAATTAATAGATGGATGTAGAAGCTGAACCTTTTCTAGGCCTCCGGAAAGAACAATAGAGTCTAAACCTCGAAAGGAAGCCGTGGCTGAGAGATGAGCAGTAATAACCCGCACGACATCCATAATGATGAAGAGACATTTTCTTAAGCTGGACAAAGTGAGGGGAAAACAAAGTCTTCATATCAATGAAAAGCTGAGACTACTTTGGGTAAAAAAGGAAACCTGCGGCCTCAAAACAACCTTTTCCCTATAAGGAACCCAATAAGGTTCTTTACATGACAAAGCAGACAACTCGGAACTCCTTCTAGCCAAGGTAATGGATGCAAGAAAAGCAACCTTTCTGGATAACAAGACAAAGAAAGGCCTTGTATGGGTTCAAAGGAGGTTTTGTAAAACAGATAAAACCAAGTTCAAGGCTTATGATGGACAAGGAGATCTAACAGGAGGAGGTACAAGAGTAACTCCCGAGTTCCACATCCGGCGTCCCCCAGCGGTGACAAAGTTGTCGAAACACTTCTGAATGGAGAGACTGTTCGCCCAGATCCAAACGTCTGCTGAGAAAATCCAGCTGCCAGTTTTCCAGTTTCGCTTAGTGTCCTCAGAAGAATAGATGTCTCCTCCCCTTCTGCTTTATTATTTTAGTTTATTCCTTCAAAGAGATTCTACTAATGAGACCTTCAAAAGAGATTCTAATGAGGGCTGCTAGATGGTTCATACTGGATAATGTTAAATCCTGGGGGCTTCTCTGGTCTTCAAAATGCAGGTTGTCTCAGTACTCATGACTCGTCCAGCAGTGGTCCTGTGTCGTAAAGCAGGGTGTCTCTGGTCTCAGTACTTGTGACTCGTCCAGCGGTGGTCCTGTGTCGTAATGCAGGTTGTCTCAGTACTTGTGACTCATTCCCTGGAATGCGCACCACTGAAAATCGCTGGAACCTGAAGTCCTCCCCAATCCAAGACCGAATGTTCTTCTGTCGTCACACTCCTGATGTCTCCCTGGAGAGTGATGTATGCCATTGCTATCGCATTGTCTGACGCAATCTGAATTGGACACCCAGACAGAAGATGGGTCCAGTGAAACAACAGATGAATCACCCTCAAGTCCAGGACATAAATCTGAGGCTCTGATTCCTCCAGAGACCAACAACCCTGCAGAGACACGTGAACGAAGAGACAGCCCCATCCCACAAGACTGGCGACCGTCATGACAATCTTCCAGGCGATGGGAAGAAAACAACTTCCCCACTGTCAACACAGGAGATGTCAACCACCACGGCAGAGACATCTTGGCCGGGGCACTCAATCATCTTGTCCAGCGACAGAGGAAACTTGTCTCTCTTTGTAAGAATGTTCGTCTCTCTTTGTAAGAATGTTCCTCTGCAAAGTCCTGGAATGGTACTTAGCAAAAGGTACCACTTTGAGGGTTGACACCAGCATTGGAGTTCCACCAACACACACTTAAAGCAGATAGCTCTGCCTTATCTGAATGGAAAAAGCGCACGAAAGACAAACATCAAGAAACGCATCACATATGAAATGAGAAGCAACAGAACTCTGATCCACAATCAATACAATGGGGATCAACTTCATCAGTCACCTGTTCTGTACTTAAAGGAGGAGACCTGCTTTATGATACAGGACCACCGCAGGAAGATTCATGAGTACTGAGACCAGAGACAACCTGCTTCATGACACAGGACCACTGTAGGACAAGCCATAAGTACGGAGACCAGAGACGACCTGCTGCATGACCACCGCAGGATGAGTCATAAGTACCAAGACCAGAGACGACATGCTGCATGACCAACGCAGAATGAGTCACAAGTATTGAGACGAGAGGCGACATGCTGCATGACCACCGCAGGATGAGTCACAAGTACTGAGACCAGAGACGACATGCTGCATGACCACCGCAGGATGAGTCACAAGTACTGAGACCAGAGACGACCTGCTGCATGCCCACTGCTGGACGGGTCACAAGTACTGAGACCAGAGACACCCTGCTTTACGACGCAGGACGAGTCATGAGTACTGAGACGACCTGCATTTTGAAGACCAGAGAAGCTCCCAGGATTTAACATTATCCAGTATGAACCATCTAGCAGCCCTCATTAGAATCGCTTTGAAGGCCTCATTAGTAGAATCTCTTTGAAGGAATAAAAGAAACTAAAATAATAAAGCAGAAGAGGAGGACACATCCATTCTTCTGAGGACACGAAGCAAAACTGGCAGGTGGGAGGTGTTTTGTCCTTAAAGTGACAGGCTTTTTATTTGTTTGCCTAGTGTCCATTTCTTTTAGGGGCAGCAACATAACCCTACATCTCAGAATTCTCCAGAGCTGTGTCCCTCAACGGACGATAGAGAAAAACCATTATTTACAGAGAATTGAAAGACTAAAAAGAGACATAACGTGCATTTCCACCTTAGCAGCAAACCTAAGACAACATCTACTTAATATTTGTTATTGGTTTCTATTTACATAGCATAACCATAACATTTTTTAAACTTTCTGCTTACCTTTTTATTTGCTGATAAACCCTATAAAAATCCTACCTAGAATTCCCCTTCTATGCAACGTTAAGGTGGGGGCTGGGAAGTCTGTACTGTGCTGGCAGATCCTATTATCGGTTGGAAACTAGATGTGCACAGTCTGTCCTAACAAAGGGTTAAACATATCCAGGCTTGGGCGGTACATTTGTCAACGCACTTTCAAACCAATCTATTCCTTCTAATTGCAAATGGAAAGATATTCTGAAAAACAAGCTGCCTGTGTACAATCCTGCTCCAAAGAAACTGCTCTCTGTATTCCACCACCCCCTCCCTTGCCTCTACCTGCCGGTTAGGTACAGTCTTCTCACCTTAGTCGGTTCTTCAGAGTGGTCACTTCCCTGGTCAGACCCTCATTGGCTTCGGACGCATCGTCCAACTCTCGCTGCAGCTTGCGCCTTGATGCGTTAGCTCTGGTGGCTTCTTCTTCGGCTTCCTCCAGCTGCCTCTTCAGCTGTTTCATGCGAGTGTTGGCCTTCTCCATCTACAAAGATGAAAAGACACGACTCATTCATCCACGGGCCACCCTGGGTGCACAGACATTTTGTATGAAATACAAGGAAGTGACTTGTCCATCCCTGATGGCGTCATGTGGGCACGGGGGGTGCAGTGCTCCAGGGTGATGCCCAAGTCGCAGAAACAAATGTGTGCTGACCCAGGCACTCTCTACCCAAATGCAAATTAATGAAGTTGCAGGATTCAGAACACTATAACCGTAACTTAGCAATGACATCAGAGATGTTCCTGGCAGCACTGCACCCCGTGCCTAAAGGGACTCATGCCATTCTTCTTGCTATCCTATGTAACTTTCTAATCTCCAGCCATCCACCGAAAACAGCTGTGAAATCAGAAACTGGAAATCGGACTTTTGAAGAAGGTTAGAGAATAAGTGCACTTAACCCTTTTTGTCTCCAGCACCCCCTCGTACCCCACATCTAACCTAAAACTACTCTTTGTTGCCTCATGTATGACTAATGCTTCCAGTGAGGTACTGGAGAATAGAGAGAACAATCTAGTTTATATGAGGCACTTGGCGGCACTTTAGTGACCATGTCAGAACGGTTAAAGTCTGGAACGCGCTGCCACAAGCAGTGGTATCAGCAGAGAGGATTGAATCATTCAAAAAGCATTTAGATACCTTCCTCAGAGACCGTGACATACAGGGGTACAGGTACACTTAAAAACAAGGACACACAGGGACTCGTGCACACATACACAATCACACACAGACACACAACGGTTGGACTTGATGGACCGGTGTCTTTGTTCAACCTCAAATACTATAACTATGTGCGCAGTCCGTTATCCGTTCAATGCACACCTGTTCTTTGTATTGGTCGGCGTGTCTGCGCTCATCTTCCACCTGCATGAAGACCTCCTTCAGCTTCTTCTCAGTTCTGCGTACCAGTTTATTGGACGCAGCTCTTTCCCTGGAGGAGAAAATTCAAACATGTTATTTGTTTTCACAGCCCCAACATATTTTATCATGTTTTACAGAAAGTACCAAACTGTTCTTCATCAGTCCCATCAACTGAAGGAACTCGCATTATGATGGCAACACAGACTCCGAGGCAATTAAAAGGAAGCCGAGTCACTTAAAGACGGGGAGCAAACTCACACAAACACAGAGAGAACATTCAATCTTCATGCTGACTGAGGGAGGATGTAAGCCCAGGACTCCAGGCCAGCAAGGCTCCACTGTTCCTCTTCCCTTACAGATACTTACTTGGCCTCCTGCTCCAGCTGCTCTTCCAGGTGTCCGATCTTTGCTTCCAAGGTAGCGATAGTGGCTTTAAACTTGGATTTGACAGTCCCTTCCAGTTCCTGTAATTTGGCTTTCAGCTCCTTGTTTTGGCGCTCCAATTGCTGTCGTGCGTTTTCGCTCTTCTGGGCCGAACTGCGTTCCCCAGCCAGCTCGGCATTGAGAGTGTCCACCTGGAGTCCAAAATCAATGTCAGTACATTTGATGGGGGCATGTCAAGTATAGCTACAAAATGTTATGCTCATGGCTGTAACGCAGGCTCAGAGACGTAGCCTGAAAACGCACAATTCAGTCTAGGAGCAGCTGTTAACGGGGTCCTTTATCTCTAAATTTTGGTAAAATGGAGACAAGCTCTCACCTGGAGAGTGGTTTTGCGGAATCGATCATTGAGAAGTTCCATGTTGCTCTGTTCCTCTTCCAATTCCTCCTCCAGCTGGGAGATCCTGGCTTCCAAGCGCCTCTTCTCGTCCAGGAGGGCCGACCTGTCGGAAATATGGAGATCTAGTCCTGCATTGTACACAAAGACCCACCAATGAGACTTCACTGGGAGTGATTTCTAGCACGTTACCTATTCAGGACCGTGCTGGTGGAAAATGTCACCGCTTACCCCAAAATGTCTTGCTTTATCCATCATGAAATATATCAAGTTTAGGGTGGTGCTGGAATCTAAAAGGAAGAGGCTGAAGCCCATTCTCCCCTGTGATGTGATCAATCTTGGAGCACCGGATATTTTGAACCGGCTGAGGTAGAGTAAGGAGCGGTGAGGGACCATTGGGGAGGTATCAGTGGGCTGGAGGGGCTCTTCACAGACACTGTACCTTTCCCATGAATAAGCAAAGTTTCAGCTTTATAAAAAGAATTCAAAGCACATCAATCTTAAAAGATCACTCACTTTCCTGAGGTGCTGTTTGAGATCTCATCACCGAGTTCATCTCTCTCCTGCTCGGCGTGGCGGCGACCACGTTCAGAAGCTGCGAGATCCTATGGGTGCAAAGTAAATGAGTCACTAAAGGCCAACAAAACCAAGAGTACAAGCGACCTGGTAGACTACGGGGTCATTACCCATCACATAGCAAATAATCCAAGTCATGACTGTAATAGATGTTTTACGTCCACAGCCTGCTTTATGTTGTATATAGCAGTGGCTGCGTGGTACTGGATCAGATTACGGTTGGTGAATATAAAAGTGGAATCACTTTTGCACGGTGGGCTTCAATACTGTTTTTTTTAGAAAGGTCTTATCCTTACTGGTGGAGGCCCTTCGTGGCTCTGAGTGAACCAACGTGTAGAAGTTTAACATGTCTTTACAAGTTTGTGAAAGTGGCTTGTCTTTATGCACGGGGATGACAACACTGCTTTAGTTTTCAGTACAGTAGCGGTGCGTTGTCAGCTCACTGCAGGACATTTGGCGCTCACTGGATTTCTGGAAGCTATTTTATACTCTGCTTGCGGAGCTTTTAAAAGGGATTGTACATGGGGGAATGTGCGTGCATTGCAGAGATGTACGGTATATTTTGTTTGTATTTTGCCCTGACATACACTTTAGTGGTAAAGCTTTGCTGAACGTGTCCTTTAGTGTAAAAAGATGCTGGGCTGAGCTATCTGCATCCTGTACCAAAACTTACCTCCTGAAGCTGAAGAATTTCAGCTTCTAGGTTCTTCAGCTTCTTCTCATTCTCTTTAGACTGAGCGAAGATGTCATCGCGAGATGCCCTGGCGTCTTCGAGTTCCCGCTGATAGTCCTTCATTTGCGCCTACAAAGAGTAAATGTATTAGAAAGTGAATACAAATATGGAATGTGTAAGAAAGGCCAGTGGTGGATCTCAGTACTTCACATTCATTACCCATAGTACCACAGTACAGAGTATCTACAGTAGTCCAAGTTACCTGCAGCTTGCGCAGCTGTTTGATGGCATCTTCTCGTCCCTTATTGGCCGCTTCGATTTGAGACTCCAGATCCTTCAAATCCATTTCCAGTTTCTTCTTGGCAGCCACAGCCAGAGCTCGCTGTTTGCGTTCGTCTTCCAGCTCTGACTCAAGCTCCCGCACCTTGGAAAGATGAAAATGAAAAAAACTTGGAATCCTATATATAATGGCTGACTATGACTGTATGAAATTCGGCAACTTCCTACATCAAACTCAATTAAAGCAATCTCTGGCAGGATGGGTCACCTACCTGCTTGACCAACATGCGTTTCTTCTCTTCGTTCTGCTCATCGCGTGCTTGTAGGTCTCGCTCAAACTGCGCCTTCATGGCCTGCATATTGACCTCCAGCCGCAGCTTGGCATCTTCAGTGCCTTGCAGTTCATCTTCCAGTTCTTCCAGCTGAGTTCTCATCTCTTCCACCTGCTGCTCGAGGGTTCGCTTCGATTTCTCCAACTCGTGAACCTGGCAAAAGACGCCAAGAATCTCATTTACAAAGAAGGCCATACCCGAGAGCCAGAAGTGCTAACACATACAACCAAATCTCAGAAATATTACAAATGTGTTAGATGTAAAAAGTTAAAGTTAAAATGGAACACCAGCTACTGTCCACTACTCACGGGTCTACTTTTTAATAAAAACTATATACATGTACTGTCTGTGTATATGTATGTATATAAATATACACAGTGTAGAAGCCCAACTGCAGACATTTTTTCAAAAGTTTTGGAGAGGGCTTCTATCACTGGGGAGATTTCAGGACAGGATATGAAAAAACACTTGAGTGGGGGAAAGAGACAACAAAACACCTTTTCTTGGCATATTAGGGTAGGGTTAGAACCTTTGTCAGGTTATTCCTGTCGGTCTTACTGTTTAAATGAAAACTGCACCCCTCATTGCTTGTTTGCCATCTCAGGGACAGGCAGAGGCAAAACCTCCCCAGCGTGGTTGCAGACAGCAATACAAACGTGTCAAAAGTTTTTAGTCTTCCCAAGTCTATCCAAAACTAACTGACTTGGCCACAATGATCGAGATCTTATAGGATCTAACGTGATGGTAAAGTGTACCAATAACCACAGTGCACAGTCTACCCAAGTATCAATCAATGCGACTGCAAAGACCTTCTTTATGTTAACTTACGCTCTTCCCCACATCATCTTTGGAGCTCATCAAGTCTTCCATCTCTGCTCTCAGCTGCTTATTTAGCCTCTCAAACTCATCACGAGCCTCCAGGGCTTCCTCCAGGGCTCTGGCTAGTGACAAAGCCTTGGTCTCCTTCTCCCGTGCGTCCGCCTCGGCCCGGTCACGTTCCTCTGCGCATCGGGCTGAGATGGTCTTCTCTTCAGCAAGAAGCTGGTGGAAGAGACAGACAGAATTCAAGTCATGCATTACAAACAAAGAAAAATATATCTTTATATACACCAGTGGCGTAACCAGAGTTCTGGGTCCTTTTCGCCCGGGGCCCGCGCCCCTGCTGCCCCCCCGGTTGTTACGCCACTGATATACACACAGTTCTCCTGAAGCACTGGACATCATCTCAAAAGGAAGGACAAAGTCAACTGACCTGGTCAAACTTCTTCTGTTTCTTTTCTAGGTTGGACACAATTTGTCTCTGGTGATCCAAGTCCACCATCAAGTCATCCAGCTCTTGCTGAAGTCTGTTTTTGGTCTTCTCCAGCTTCTCGTGAGCCAGGCTCTTTTCTTCCAAGCGCTGACCCAATAGCTCCATGTCCTTCAAGAGCTTCTTTTTCACCTCCTCTAACCCCTCAATGGTGCCCACATCATCTTCCAGCTTCTTCTTTGAGTCTATTAGCTGGTTTAAAAAGAACAGTAGTCAGATGATGTTACTTAATCAAGCAAAGGCAACAAAGTAAATTCTGATTGGTTAAACAAAGAACATATTCTTCATTATGCAGCACTTCAGAACATATAATTCTCCATTCGGACGGTACCTGCGCCTGGAGGGTGATAATCTGCTTCTCCAGGGCCTTGCGGGCCTCCTCCTCTTCCTCTTGCTGCTCCAGTAGATTGCCCTTCTCCTCCTCTAGCTGTCTGATACGGCTGCTTAGGTTCAGCTTTTGCCGAGTCTCTTCCTGGAGCAGTTCCTGTCAACGGGACAAAACATACATTGGAGGTGAACTTCTGTTTTGTGTGAAATGCATTAAGCCGGACTGAACCCAGTCCAATGAAAAGTCACCTTTCAGATACAGGTGGGGTCTGCTCAGCTACGTCAACTCCTAGTTACTTTTACCAACTGCAAAAAGACCCCCTTCACCTTCCCATAGTTCTGGCTCTGTTCCCAACCATCATTAAGGTTTTCCACTGCCCATTTTGTATACATATAATTAAAACTCCACCAGGAAGCACAGGACTCCCCTTAGCTGCCACGGGGCTGGGAACTAGAACACCGAGATCTCAGAGGCATATGAGAAACTACTGAGTCTAAAGTCTAACTCCAGCCAAGACTTATTTAATACAAAATTGAGCAGGGAAGGGTTAGCCCATCAACATTTAATCCATCCAACATGTAACTACTGGACAGATCACATTGGTTAAGCTCTTCATGGAGGAACCTGTTCAGGATCCTGCTCATCTCTACTCAGCAGAGAGTAAGAACTCCCCAATAATTTTCTAACTCCTTCAGCTCAATGTCCTTGTCTGCTGCAAATGTTTACTGTCCGTATACATCAAGGTCCTGCATGACTGCCATGACTTTGTTTTAACTGCCTAGCGATTTGCTTTCACCTTTGACCTTGACACCTTTCAAACCACTCTTTTAGATCTTAACTTACTCTTAAAAACATAGCCAACCATTAACAATACATGAGCCACACTGAACAGACCTGTGTGTCCTGCAGCTGGGACTCCAGGCCAGTGACATCCTTGACCAGTTTAATCCCTTTTTTCTCAGCTTCCTCCAACAAGGTCGACACATTCTCCAGCTCATTCTGTAAAGGCAAATATGGAAATATTATTCATCTGGATCAAGTCAGAACCTTTCAGCAAGAAACCTACCCTTCAATCACATCATTTTAAATAAGAACGGGTCCTTTGTGTTTATTTATTAAATCAATTTATAGGAAGATTCTGGAATCATAGATTGGAGGATGGTCAGTTGGAGGATGAGTGGAGAGGCTGACCAATAGCTTATTGGCCTTTCAGTTAAGTGTTATGCCGCAGTTTTCATGGAGAGATAAAATCCATTTGGATCATATAAATTATAGGTGTAAACAAATTGATCCGGATATTTCAAAAGTGACGAATTATTTTAGCACCTCCATCTGACAGAAAGCTTCGTAAACTGGACATAGTACCTGAAGTTTGTTGGTCTTTTCTGCCAGCTCAGCGCGTAATCTGTCCCCCTCTGACACCTTGGTGTGAAGCTCCAGAACCTGACCCTCCAGCTTCTTCCTCTTGTACTCTGACTCTGCCTTTTGCTGCTGAAGAACCTTCACCTCACCGACCAGCTCTTTGTTCTCAGAGTCCAGGCTCTGCTTGTTCTTCTCCAGGTTCACTTTAAACTGTGCAAGACACAGAAAAAATTAAAATGACTAAATAAACCTTATTTTCACCAACCCAAAGGAACACCGAGTTAGGATCAAATAGATTCTCCTACTCATGACTGGATGCATAAAGAAAACAAAAAATTGGAAACCATTTCCTCATTTAGCCATAAGGAACCCTTTACTAGCTCTTCTAGGTCCAGGCCTGTTATCCTGACTCTTACCCTCTTGGCCTGCTCCAGCTGTTCAGACAACTCCTCCAGGGCCGTGGCTTGACGTTGCCTCATTTCCTGGATCTGAGCCTCATGGTTTTTGGTTTCCTCCTCAATGTTCTTCTTCAGCTCAGCCACTTCCTGCTCCCGTTTGGTCCTTGAAGAAGAAAGCAAAGTGAGCGTTATCTTGACAAAGTCACACCTCAAAAGGAAGCGGCTAACCCCAAAGTCACAAAAGACAACCCAAAGATGGAAATCGCCTTCATTTCATACCTCAGTTCCTGCTGGGCAGCCGTGGTGTCCAGGGTGTCCTCTAACTCAGTCTTTAGTGCTTCTAGCTCCTCGCTCAAATCCCTCTTTTGCTTCTCTGCTTTGTTACGTGAAGCCTTCTCAGACTCCAGATCTTCTTGTAACTCGGCAATCTGGGCCTGTAACTCCCGCACAAGCTTCAGAGCATTGTTCTTCTGTACCACCTCTTCGTCTCCCCTATCATGGGATTAGAGAAGGACATAAAGTTAATCAGTTAATGAGATTAAAACACAGGGCTTCATGTAAATCAGTTCTTTTTGTTATTAAATGTGAACCTGTGCCTTTGACCATTGCGAGAACCTTCCTCACACAAACCTGCTACTACTCCATTGTGTCTCTCTGTCATTCCATTGTTCTGGAAGAGCTCTTGATAAATATTCCATCCTTCTGGGTATGGAGGAAGCAAGCAACCTCCCTTCAGGATGCAGTGCCCTTGGCTACTCAGACCTAAACCCTGTTATATGAGGAGGAAGACGTTAACCCTGCATAAGCTCTGTCATCATCTGATATGGAGCTCACACAGGGTTTGGGCTCCTGGTGCCAATGGAGGAACTGAGCAGCAGGGGGGCAGAGGAAAGGTAAGCAACATTACCTGGAAGGTTCTTTTACATGGTAGCCTGAATGGACAAAGTGAGATATATCTCTGAAAGGGAACTTGCCCTAAAATGATCACACTATGTTTAGTGTTACATGTTACATTTAGCTAATGGGAGGTTCTAGGGCTTCATCTACACCTGAAGAAGCAAAAAAATATGCGTTGCATGTGATTCCAGATCGTCTATTGCTCATGCGGCTTCTCAGGACATAAAGCAACTAGATTTGATAAGTGACATCCCTAGAAATGACATTGGACATTACTGGTCTAAACCTTCCCGCGGAGCCTCTCCAATCACCTGGCTAAAGCAGCTTGCAGTTCCTCCTCTTTTTTGGCCAACTGTAACTTCAGTTCCTCAATCTGAGCCTGCAGCTCAGCGATTTGGTCTGCGAGGTCAGAGGTTTCACCATCCAGCTTCCTCTTGGCTTTCTCCAACTCCTGCCGTGTCTTCTCCTCCTTTTTTAATCTTTCTAAAGTCAGAGAAAAAAAAAATAGGAAAAGGGTCAGCCAATACACAAAAAATTAAACCAGACAAATCAAAAAATAGCTGAGATTCTGGGAATATGGAATTAAAAATGGGTTACATTGTACCTTCAAGGTCAGTGATCATCATCTCCTGCTTGTTTTTCAGCTTGGCCAAGTTTTTGGCTTTCTCTTCTTCCTCCGCTAGCTGTGCAGTGCACTCTCCTATCCTCTCCTCCATCAGTTTCTTCTCCTGAGGAGCAAAATGGGAGAAAACCGCAAAGGTGTTTAGGCAACACTATCTTTTATTAGGCATCAGGACGACTCTTTCATGATGTAACTTCATGTGGCAAGGGATGGGGGGAATTTAAAAACGAAAAACAATATAGAAGAAGGCCCGAGTCCAGTACAGTGCCCCTTGCCACTTTTTTGCTCCAGTGTCCATGGCTACAGATGTTTGTGTCTGCACAAATCCAAAACAGCAAATAATAATATAATAAAATGTTAATTGTGAAATATTTTTCTCCCTATAAATGTTCCCAGGAAAGAAATTATGTTTAAATTTTCTACCATACAAGATCTTGCTCTCGGCTCATACTGCCTTTCCAAAACTAATGGGCCTGCATGCTAACCATTACAGAAAAACTCCTAGTCTTCTGCCATGCTTCTCCACTACAACGCATCGGCCACCAGCCATTAAACATACTGTCAAGTGGCTCTTCATGCAGGTCCCTCCGACTCTGGGTTGAGTAATCTGGGAAGATGTTCTCTGCTGGTTTAAAGGAGAACTATGGGGTTAGGGCTTTTCCCCATAGTTCTCCTTAGGGTAACGGGAGGACACAAACTAGCGTCCTCCCGTTACCCTAAGCTCAGTATACCGCGAGCTACAACTCGCGGTATACTGAGACGCCGGAGCGGATCCCGACATTGATGTCGAGATCCGCCCAGCTGCGTGAGTGACAGCTGGCTCTGCCTATCTAGAGGCAGAGCCAGCTGTACCCGCCCCCTCCCCCGTCCGTTCCGCCAGTCAGCGCTGGCGGATCGGAGCGTGGAGGGGGGAATCCAGCCCCTCCCCTGTCACGGCAGAGAGCCGTGACAGGATCGAGAGGTGAGCGAACGCCGCTATATGTTCGCTCACCTCCCGAACTACTGAGCCGACCTGTGACAGTCTCATTGTCACAGGTCGGCTGGAACTATGAGGTGAGTGAAAAGCACTCACCTCATAGTTCTCCTTTAAACATGGACTGTATTGACTGGTATAGTAGAGGTAAACATGGAACCCCTACACTCAGTAGTATATAAGGATATTATACATCTATGTAGAGTTCCATTACAAAAAGTATAAGACTATAGCAAAAGTGCCTTTATAAATGGGACCGCTACTTTCTCCTAACCTTAACTCCTACAGCAGCTGCTAGCTTGTGTTTCGTTATAAGATTCTAACACAGGATTAGATTTACATCTAAATATTATCAGTTCTTTCTATTCAGTGTATGATGACCTATGCAATGTGCCCATATTAGCTCTATAATGACCCCCACCTTCACAAACTTGGAGTTCTGGTCCTCTAGTAGAAGGATATCCTCTTCCATTTTCTTTATCTTTGCTTCTGCTGTTACTTTCTCCAGCTGTAGCTTCTGTCGAGCTGCTTCTTCTTCATCTAGTTGTTCCTCCAGATCCTACAGTGGACACAAGAAGAGGCTGCTACATGATGGTGCACCAAAGAGACAGAGTCAAATAATCCTAGACAAAATGTGCTTTGGGAAATACAAAATGTAAGTCCAGCTGAATATTTGGGTGGTATCAAGAAGGTTAAGTTACTCACTAGCTTCACATAGCTTTGTAAGACAGCTGGGACCTCAAAAAGCACTTTACAACTGCTTTCTGAGATGTATAGATGGACAGAGACGATGAATGTGGTCCATACCTGGATATGAGCCTGCATCTTCTTCTTATCATTCTGCAGAACTTGGTTTCTCTCCTCTTCTTCCTCCATTCGGATCTCCATGTCTCTTAGAATCTCTTCCAGTTCCTGTTTCTTGACTGCCAGACGGGCCCTCATCTCCTCGGCCTCAGCAAACAGTTCCGTCTCCGCCTGGAGTTGCTCGGCCAGGATGTTCTTCTCCTCTACCAGCTGAAAGGTGAGATCACAAAAGGCCAGACATTATATGGACATCCAAACCAGTTTGTCTTCTTAACTAGAAGACTAACTTTCTGTAAGACGGTCTATAAAACACAAGAGAGTGAATGTGAAATTTTGAATCAATATTTTATTGGTTATTTATCTCCTACAACCCACCTGCTGGTGCTTCCTCTCCATCTCCACCAGCTCTCCCTCCGCCTTCGACTGCTTTTCTTTCACCTTCAGCAGCTCCTCATCTTTGGCCAGCATTTCCTCGTCCTGTCGGGTAACTTGTAACAGTGGCTTTACCTGCAAAATAGGAAGACATGGTTCTCAAACTCCTGAAATTTGATTAGAACGATAGTTGGCACGTTCCATTGGCTGATATGAACACAAGATATGAGCACAAGTTAAAAGTATATCGCACGGCGTAAACAGGCACAAACCCAAACACTACGGACCAGGTCAGCACATCGAACTGAAATTTCGGTTTGTAACTATCCTTTTAAGGGTGAGGCTTATACACAGTGGGCTTCTGTGTCCCCCAGTTAATGGAGATAAAACAATATATGAACCATACCTGACTCCATACAGAAGCAATACGTTTTGAATATAGTGGCAGACATCAAGACATGGGCCTCTCCACTCATGCACCGTTCGCAATCTCCCAAATCAGCTGACCTGCAGATATGGTGCACCTACAAATCATTATTACATTCACAGGAGGAGCCGAGGTTCTTGCTCAGCCTTGGAGAGTGTCATTGGCCATCTCCTGGAAGTCATGCTTGTTCCAGGGCAGAGCTCACATATGCAGCATCTCACACAGTGATGTCGTTGCCCCAGGATAAGGAGTGTGCAGAAGTCTGCCAAAGGAAGCCCCCAGCACTGGATGGGAACCTCAACTGGCTATCCTGGCAGGTTTCCTTCAACCCTACATCCTTAAATCAGTTCCACTTCTAACAACTATATGGACACACATAGCATTAAAACTTTTATCCTATTAAAGAAATTAAGCAAAACAAGAAAATAAAAAGAGAGAGAGAGAGGGATGAATGGACGACTCACGTTGGCCACAGAGGGATGAAGACGACATAATAAACTTATTACTTCTACAGCTGTCCCACTTCCCAAATGGACATTAGTGTCATGAAGACTTAGGCCTACCTTAGTGAAGAGTCGCCACCACTGCCAGTGGCGCAGTTTCAGGTAGGCGGCGCAGTTCCGCTGTAACACCTTCAGGGCGCTGAGCTGCTGCTGCTTCTTGGCAAAGGCTCTGATCAGAACAAAGACAGACAAAGCTAAAGGGGCAGCCTATGTATGGGCCAACAGGTCTATGCTTTCAGCAGAAGCAATACCATTGCTCTGTAGAATAAAGATACTTTTCAGAGATCTGAAACTTTTCTTGTTATCAAGAAAGAATGCTTGGCAAGTTTTATATGATCATAGATCAAAAGAGGAGAACAAAACCTCAAACTGACAGTGAAGCCTCTCCTCTACAAACTGGCCCGGAGAAGGCTGACATAGGGGACTCTGCATAGGTTTACTAGTTCCTAGTAAGTGATGTAACGTATTGAAGGCAGTGGATCTGTATGATAGCCAAGCAACCAGCCATTCAATGATTCCAGTCACTGTACCAAAGTCTTATACTCACTTCCTAGCCAGATAACCCCGACAAACGGCTTGGAAGTCAATGATGATATCGGTTATCTTGAGGTCCCGCTCCTCTTCCAGGTGCGCCAGCACACCCGCACGAAAGAAGATCTTACTCTGCCCAATGCGGAAAAGGTTTGGGTCCAGCTCAAGTGCCCGGATCTGTAAAGAGAACCCAAATGTCAGTAAGGGGTACAGACAGAATAATGGCTTGACAATCACATGACCTTGTCTGCTCCCCATGACCAAAGTTTGTCTCTCACCATCCTCTCGCAGGCTTGTTTCCCATCCATGAATCCTTTAGGGATGGAGTTGGGGGTGAGGATTTCATACCTGGAAAGGAAAACACAGGAACATAAGCATTGGTTAAACTAATCTCTGTCCGTTCTGCCACTTTCATTCTCAGAGATATCTAGGGCACATTCAGAGAGATCAGAGGGCAGGGCACATTCAGAGAGATCAGAGGGCAGGGCACATTCAGAGAGATCAGAGGGCAGGACACATTTTTTTTTTTTTTTTTTTACATTTACGGTACTTTTTTCATGATATAGTAAAAAAAATAACACCCCTTCCCCCCCGTGGTGATTATATACCTCCAAAAGAAAGCTCTATCTGTCCCCCAAAAATGTTAACATAAATTGCAAGGCCGATAGTCCGGCCATGCTGACTGGTGACAGTGAGAGAGGAAAGGGGTGGGCAGCAGAGAGGTGAAGGGGCGGGGGGGGGGGGGGGGGGGGCTTATTTTCTGGCAGTGCCCCCCGAGACTAGACTCTGGATCCACCCCTGGGGCACATTCAGAGAGATCAGAGGGTAGGGCACATTCAGAGAGATCATAGGGCAGGACAATGTTCTGCTTTATGATCTAACTGGGAATTACCATGATATGACCACTTGATGCCACAGCCAGGTTCCCCTCATCTGCCATGCTCCCTTTGATTATGAAATAATGTTTCACAATGCACTGGTTCTGCTACTGCCAGACATGTCCACACTCAATGACAGCTACCAGAACCCATACTATACTAGACAGGGGGCAGTATAAATCACATGGCTTAAAAAAATGAAATGGTTAAAAAAATGAAGACACAATCCCAGCTGTAAGGACAAGGACAAGCGAAGTGTAGACTAGTGTGTAGAAAAAGCAAAGAAGGGGAAAAGTATATGAAAAGTATTAGCAGGGGAGCTCTGCTTTACACGCTCATGCTTCCAGTACCTCTGCCGGAACTCCTGAAAGACAATGCGGTTGGGAAATCCCTGCCGGCAGATTCGGATCCCTTCCAGAACGCCGTTACACCTCAGCTGATCCAGCACCAAATGGGGGTCCAATTTACCAGCCTGTGCAGGAGAAAGGAAGACATGAACACTGTTAACAAAGGAAGGTCCAAAACCATAAAAACATCACACATGGTGAGAGATGAAACCCTGAATCCTGACCACTAGAGGGCACTCATCCAATACATTATAGATGACATGGTATAATGCGGACATGGCAAACTCACATGAAACAACGGGCCGGTCTGAAAGGACTAAATCTTCAAGGGGGCCGCAGTATATCTACTGAGGGCCACACCTAATTAATGTCACAAAAGATTATACCACTTCTGAACTTAACATTACAGCCAAAACTGCAACTTACACTATTTACTCTCAAAGAAACATTTCCTAAAGTATTCAGCTGTAAAATAATTTTAATGTAGAAAAGAGAAGAGTGCCGCAGCATTGGTATGAGTCCAGAGGGTTTATGTTGTATAGAAAAGCAGCAGGGGATCAGTTCCACCCCCCTTATCGGGGCTGAGAAATAAAATAATAGAACATAAACATACGAGGGGAGGGCAATAAGTTCTTACCCTCACCATGATCTAGATGTGCTAGGGATCTGACATTTTGCAGGTTTATAGGTGGATATCTTCGTAATATTCATGGCAATTTTTGTTTTTGTAGGTGGTGGTGAATTATAGTTAGAGCCAAGAGAAATGGAGTGGGTTTCCTGCCGGACAAAGTATTTTTTTATTTGTAGGTGCAGATTTTATACTAGAAGTTGTACCTGGAATGGACCTTTATAATACAGAATGTGGATTCTGGTGCTTACTATCAATGAATCATTATAATTCATATGACCCAAGACCCCATTTTCTTCCCGCACTCTCCAGACCCCAGGTTCCTCTCTTACTCGTTTCTCGTGGTTGGGGATGATGCAGCGCACAAAGTTCGGGTTGGTGTTACGCAGGGTCGCCATCAGCTTGGTCAGGGACTCCTTGTACAGCTGCCCCACCGTCCTGAACATGCCCTTCTTAGTCTTATAGGCCGAGCCGAACGCCGTCTCAGTCATCCCGGCCACTTGATCCAGGCCCACGATGCGGTCTACTATGGAAAAGAATGCGGGTTTTAGAGACTCTTACAACAGATAATACGATGAATAACGAGATCCCAAAAGGATTAATAGGGCCAGTTAACCTTTAATAAATTTTTTCCTGTGTGCTCCCAATTCTTTCTTATCTCATATACATAACCTTTACTTTGCGGCATCCTGTGGCTCCGCCTACTCTTTAAAATAATCGGTGCCGCTGGTGACAACAATTAAAATGGCTGCTAGAAGGACCTTATCCTGATTTTAAATGGCTATAAATGCCAGTTATGGATGGCTGGGGGGTGCAGGTCGCAGAGAAGCCGAGCATGCAGGAAACTTTGGCTTAACATACTTAAACTGTATTGGATAGAGCAGAGAAAGCTTCAAGCTCATGCCAGTCCCAAGAGGAAGATTTCCCTTCATTTCCTATACTGTAGACACAACAGGAAGTGATAGGAAAGCTCCCCAAAGTAAATGTAACACCCCCCATCCTTAGGCAGTTAGCACCGTAAACAGTGTACCCAATGGAAGAATTCTCCTCTATTCCTATCCTTGTATGTTCCCTCATAATGGTCACCAAGGACAGATAAGCTCATTTTACAATCAGATTGTACAATCTCCTTTAGTATGTAGTGCAAGGGTCTGCCTGATTGGATGAACTGAGTAGGTCCTCATATTACAGAGGCTTGGTAAATCCAAAGATTGTATGGTCAGATTATAAGGTGTACGGTGACCCACAGAGTGAATCTCCGAAGCCTCCTCTTCTGGTGTCCACTTTGTTCAGAAGCTTGCTCAGCTGTCTAAAGTAAAGCTGAACTCCGGTGAAAATTCACAACTGCCCTTGCTGTTGGGGCTCCCCGGCACTGCGAGGGTTAAATCCTCATATGTGCCAAAGGGGAATATTAAGAACTCATCTCATCCCTCGCTCCTGCAGGCTCCTCCACACCGTGTGACTGGTCCTTCGACGCGCCATTTACCGGTCATGAACAATACGGGGCCAGCAGCCACTCATTGCGAGAGGATCCTGAAGGCCTGACCACAACCTGGAGCATCGGAAGGGAAGAGGAGAGCACCAGCTGCTCGGAAATGGGCGGGGAGGGGGTTAAGGTGAGTAAAAGTGCTTTTTAATGGTAACTTGGGACAAAAAAAAAACGCATTTAACCCTTGCAGTGAGTAGTTTTGAAGTTCAAGTTTAGGTTAAGTGAGCTTCTAACCGTATCCCAAGAGCAAATTATATATCCAGATCCCTTCTATATAATATATCTAAATCCCGATGAAAAGGACAACCTCTAAAATGTGTTGGCTGTCAACTCTTTTATAGTGACAAATAAAAAAACTGTATCTGCGCCAATTTCCACGGCTTCACACACTCATCCTCTTATTCTACATAGGGTTGTCACCAGAACAGGAATAGAGGGGAAATCTTTCAATGGGGACACCTGTATAAGAAAGGATTTCCCTTATTTGGAAGAGATTTCTTCCCACTTCCTGTTGCATTTCCAGGACAGGAAGTGAACGTATTTCTCACCAAAGCTGTTTTGGCCTCAGATGACTCAACATGCATTTTTTCCTTACCTGGAAGGATTTTTTTTAATATCACCCAACACCCAACCTTGAAAACCAATGTTTTTTTTTTTTTTTGGCCAGACAAGATTGCTACTGTATATGTGAAGACCATATGCCAAGACCGCATGGGCAGGATGGAGGACGGCCCAACATGCAGGTGTAATCAAAGCAACATTTTGGAGACCGTCGTGTTTCCTAACCTGCACACTGGGTCTTGGAAGGGGAAGCAGCAGCAGTTCATGGAGTCACCAAGACATAATAAAATTACCAGGTACCTTAGCCCCGCCCTCCTTCATAGACCCCAGCCATGTGATGGGTCTCTGCTCCCCCTTTTCCTGCAGGCCATTCACAAAACACCCAGACCTAGGTTTTGCTTTGTGAATGGCTAGGAGGAGAGGGGGCGGAGACATGACTCTGATGAGAGCTGCAATGCTTACACCTGAGCAACCCAGTACAGCCGGAGATCTACCAATCCCGCCAGGTAAACCAGCAGATCTGCCAAGCATAGGAGAAAACTTGCATGATGGGGGGGGGGGGGGTAATTGTTTTGCCTGGTGA